ATGTGACATGATCTTCTCTAGGTATGTTGATCGTGGCTCATGCGTATATATTTTAAGTGTGTGATTGATGGAGACAATTACGTCAAGGAAGTACACAACGCCGAGATAAATTTTACTCCATGGCATGCTCACACGGATTGATCTAGTGACGAGCTCACGGATGTACTAAAAATAAATTTCCTCGCAGTTGGGGTACTAGCCACCCTTCACTCCGATCGTTTAGTGACAAGAGTCTTTCGTGCGAGGAGAAGAACCCATAATCATGCGAATGATCTGCCTGCTGACCAGGCTTCTTTCCGCACAAAACGACACACTAGCGACGTCTTTCATAAGATTTTGATCAAGTCCAAAGGTTTTTCTTTGGACTGATTCTTGAAAGATTTCACTTGAGCTAAAAGACAAAGTGCCTTGACCACGTAAAAGGTTGATAAAGTTGTTCTGGTCTGATCAGAAGAAATCAGAAACACTTTCGGGTTGAGGGCTAAAGGGTTGAAATCGCGAGGTCATGTCGATAAGTTCAAGAATGACTTCAGGCTTTGTCAATTGAAGAGTATAAAAACGCAAGCTCTTCTACAATCCTTGGTAAATTCTTCGTCAATCTCCATCCACAAGTCTATCCGAAAAGTAACTCCTTATCTATCATCACAATCTCTACGAGAAAATGAGAGAGTCCTGTTATGATATTCTTGGTGTCAAACGTCATGACAATCAAGACGCAATTTTACATAGTTTTCTAGTTCATCGTCTCATGCTCAACCGAGAGGGCTCATCCCAGGACCGAGCGCATTACAGAAGGGTCAAGAATGCGTTTGAAATTCTCCATGATCGTAAGTTTCGCGATATACTCTCCTTTGATCTTTACTTATAAGATCCATTGTGTTTTGATTCTCGATAGCTGCCAAACGTAGACTACATGACGCATTCCTTGATTCCAATGCTCATTCTCCAAGACCTTCAAGTTCATCACCTGCACCAGCTGCACCCAGGCTTCAATATCAAGCCTTACGTGCTGGAAGTTCTACCCAGGTCCGAACAACCAACAATAGAACCCTAGTTGATTTCACACCGACTTTGGATCCTCATAAATCGGGTGCCAAAGAACGTCGATTATACCTCTATGGTGATTCAGAAAAAGGTTCGAATCCGCCCTTTGCTACAAACGAATCAACCATCCCGTTCCCTACGAAAATCCCGTGGCCTACAATCAAACGAAAAGAAGCAAAGGACAATATGGCTGCTTATGTAGATCCTCCTAAACCTCAGGCTCTACCTGAAAGTGAGAATGGCAAGGAAAAACAAATTGAAGCTAAGCGCCGTCCCTCCAAGCTTCAGAAGAAGAGACCGTCATGAAGTACTACTATTTTGTCAAGTTTAAGAGTGTAATCAAGTTCAACACGTGGTTCTCTTGAATTTCTGGGTAGAAAGGTCTACTAGTATTCCATTTTCATGTCCGGAATTATCTTTTCTAGTTTCCTCATTTTGTCTTCTTGTATCACTAGTGATTTAGTGTGATGTTCTCAGCTAAAAATGTGATCATCGATAAACACGTTGATTTGTTTGTTTCTTCGCTTGATTTTTGTTGAGATCAAGAATTACGCGAGACTGAGTGATCCCAGAATCGTAGGTTTGATAGGAAGGTTTGCCATTTTTCGTCGCAAGAGTGTGCGGTTTTCTAAAAGCCTGTCGTGTTGAAAATGCCACGAAACATCCAGCTACAAACCTTTGCCAGAGTTTTTTCTTGTCTGAAAAGCGCTTCATCTTAGAATACGCAAGCCTTGGAATGTCGACTTGAAGCTTGAATGATTGCAAAACTTCCCATATTTGGGGGCAAAATGGATTTTCGCGTTATGCTCCGCATACATGACGTCATCGGTACCGGACTCGCTGTTTACCATGCAAATCAGATCTAATCATTGCACCGAATGCAGGGGATGAGCCCCCAAACCAAACGTCAATGGCGGATTCTAACGATATCAGGGTCGTCATCTTCGACATTGGTTGGTCGTCAATAGCTTCATCCATCATAGTTGTGGCGATGATACATGATCATACCGACTTATTAAACTTTGTTGCACGTTGCTTATCAATTCCCCTTTGAACGATGGACAGGAGGCGTGGTCGCAAAATCACCACTGTGGGTCGTAGTTCACCGCGAATGCTCAATCCAAGTCATTAATGGGGTACTTGAAACTATCATCTTGCTCAACGGGAATTGGACCAATATTTTGATCTGCTTTCGAATCGTAGGATTGGAATAGCGAAATTTGAGAAGCAGAACGCATTACCTCATGACTATCTGAACGTAGCGATGACTGCACGAGGTCCCGAAGGAGCATTTCAACTACTAGAGACAGGTCGGATTCAGTTACCGGAGTTCTACTCTCAGGTTGGCCAGATTTTCGGTGCTTGATGTGCTTGCTACCTTCATCGTTGGAGAATAATCACAATGAGCTAAAGGATGTTGGCAGTTCGGTCAAGAGATGAGCGACACAAAGTTCAATAATAGTGCATATCAGCAACATTGTCTACGCACCTCAAAATGTGAGTCGCAAGGAGCTGCCCTCGTTTCTTGACCATTCGAGTTGGAAATCTCGTCCAACAACTTTTGAAGAAGGGTTATAGGAGTCGATAATGACTCAAGGATAATCTCTGTAGCTGTTCCGCCTTTGCCCGTTCAGGCTCCAGTAGATGGAAAAGAGGTAAGCCAGATATCAGATGTCCCCGCAATATTGATGATACTTCATCTTTCTGGTGCTGATCTTTGTTTTTATGCTCGAAATGGGACAGCTGTGGAGAATGATGATGGGCGAAGCTTCATCCTTCAATACCCCCATTATCCAAGTGATCAAACGTTTAAAAGGTGATGTATGGCAAGTCTATTGTTCAGTGTTTGTCTAAGCCTAACTCGTCCTTATCATCTGTTGCACTACACCCAGGCTCAGGAAGTTACAAGGTAGCAGCCCTGACGAATAATTTCAACCTGGCTCCGGGAGTCAAAGAGGATGACGCGGAGGCCCTAGGTATCATGCCCAAAGAGATAAAGCAACTGTTTGACGATTTCATTGAGAGTAGCCAAGTGGGAATGCGGTGAGCAAATACATGATTCACCTCTGTCTTGTCCTATTGCTCTCGAGTACCTGTCAAATGTGTTATTATCAACGGGTAGGAAACCGGATCCGAAGTTCTTTCAGTATGCTTTGAATCGATTGGGTGCGGAGCCACACAGAACTGTCTTTCTAGATGATATTGGGTCAGTGGCTTGTCTTTCGTTCATGTCACTTGAAGGCGGAGATTTCGGAAATATGATAACAGAGTTGGAGTCAACTGACCGAGTCTATTTACATCCCTCCAAATCCGCACACAGCATGAACCTCAAAGCCGCACAAGCATTGGGAATCAAGACCATACGTGAGTTGTCTGATAGCTTTGATTTGAGCTAGCCATACACAGCTTAAAATTCATTCATGGCAACAGGGGTGGGTATTTATGATGTGGACCCGGCAATTCGTGCTCTTCAAAAATACGTACCAGACGTAGACTTATTGAGTTGCTGCTCTGATCATGCTGGAGTATCCAAATTATAGCCGAGTCTTATGGGATTTGATGATCCTGAAGTCACATTCTCTCTCTCGATTCCTTCTCTCTTTCTATTTATGCTTTGGGTGAGATCGCGATGTTGTCTCTGCATCTGTAATCACAAAATGAGTTCTGCGCACTTCAGGATCAGTGCGCTGATACAATTTGTGATTGCATTTTGATGAAGTTTATAATGCTTATGCCTGAGAACAAGGAAATTGAACCAGATCTCCAAAACCTATCCCCTCCACCAAAATCACCTTTTTGATTCCAAAAGTGGTTTTGGAATTGTGGGATTGAGGACTCTGTGTCTATAGCTTTTTGGAACAAACAATGGTTTTTTCTCACTCTTCAAGTTTCAATACTTGAGGTACAATCCTGTTCTACATCTCCTTGTTTTTTGCAATAAGCACTATACTCAGATACAACTTCTTGTGCTGGGGGCAATATCCTGTTGGCCTAGTTCCCCTGCTTAAGGGAAGCAAGAGAGGATTGTATGCTCAAGCCTTGCTGCTCTGTTACCAGAACACAGGTTTGCTTGTACCAAAGAGTTGCCACAAGTAAGTTGTAGCTTTAGCACAAATCTTCATGAACCCTGTCAGGTCTTTGTAAGTGTGACCACATGGTAAATACACCATTGATCATCAATTTTACAGGAGCAATCAAAGGGTTGCAAAATTTTCTAGCAGATCACAACTAGCTGCTAGGACTTGTGCACAGTTCACTCATTTGAGGCATGACTTACAGGAATTCCACGCAGTTGCCCAAAACAGATGTCACCATTCTAATCCAATGATGACAACACTAGCCCTTGTGCAAATCTTCCATCCCAGACCCCCCTTCTTGCTTACCAAGCCATTGACTCATCTTCACTCCGGGCACAATGTCCTCACAATATCCTCATGGAGAATCACTTGGCCAAATTCAATCCTCACATCACTTATGTAAAGGGTCCATGGGATGAAGACCATATTGAGACAATTATCTTCTTTCATTTCTCTTTCTAGTAATTGCATCAGAGTTGATTGTCAGTATGATGTAATATTGTCTTTTGATCTATATATTTCTTCAAGTGTACCATGGTTTTAACAAGATCACCACTGTATAAGAATGTGTCTCTTCACTAGAGTTTCTTTTCTTCATCCATTCTTATCTGTGTTTGTTTTCTTGTACCATCAGGTACTTACTTTGCTCATTATTGTGTCCTCATATCTAGTACTGAGTACTCTCATGCTTTACAAAGCTTGTAGTTTTATGGACCAATCCAAATATCATTAATTAACATCCAAGTTGAAACCAACAAGCACAAAAAATCAGCTATCTTGAAATTTGGAGGACAAGTTGTCTGTACTTACTTTCTTATTTGGTATAGTCCTACGACTTCCGTTTTGATATCAGGAAAGTATTTGAAAAGGATTCAATGCAAGTCCTTGAACTTCAGAGTGCTTGTGTGCTCTGTTGTTTGCATTGAAGCTGGTATAGTCTCCTTTTAAAGATTAGCTAAGAATTAGTGCCTGATCATGCTTTGAGGTTTTACAGGCCGCTCTTCTCAGCCAGCTCTTTCAGATCTCCATTTCACATTCCTAGTCCCTTGTCTTGAGAGTTTCTTCACACTCTTCAAGGAAATTTTAAATGAGTGATACTGCCAACTTCAATATGTGCAATTGTCAAGTTCAACATTAAGTGTTTTACGTCTTACTTAGTCACAGAGGAACATACAAGCTTCAAGAAAGAAATTGAAACTAAACAAATGAGAACAAACGATGAGAGATCTTTACACTTGACCTTTTACACTCAATCTGACATGTGGAATCCATTGAGTGTAAAAATGAATGTGACATGTGGTGACTTACATTTTTGCACTGAATACACCACAAGGACACACAGATGTCCTAGGGACAACCTGATTTTTTGCAGGGGAAGGGACATCCTGACAAAACTGATCCAAGGAGCCCGGGTCACAATCAAAATTTGGGACATCCCACAGGCTTCCAAGGGTGTTTTATTCAAATGTAGTCCCAGCCAGGCATCCTGAGTGTGTGCTGCGGACGTCCACATGCACTGACATCCAGGGGACAGCCCAAACGGGGGTACTGACAACGCAGCCACAGGTACTGTACCAGTACAGTATCGAAGATACTGGTACAGTACCTATATCAAAAATACTCAAAATCAAGGTACTCAGTACAGTACCTACGAGGAGATACTGTACGGAGTACAGTACCTAGAAATTAGGTACTGTAAAAAACCTCAGGCAGTACAGTATTTTTGGCCACCCCTCGATACTGTACTGTACTGGTATCATGGGGCGATACTTAGGTACTATAACGTATCGTACCTTGTACAGGTACGATACGGTATAGTACAGTACCTATGTAAG